ACCAGACTAAAAGTTGATTCTGGGGAACTTCTGTGTCAGCATAACTTCTCTGATGCAATACCCCAACTAATTTAAAACAAAACTACAATTACTTGACTAAAACTGGCATTCCAAACTATTAGGAGTGGAAAAAGTACTGCAAGGCTAGTTTGCACCTAATACTTCTTGTTCCTTAGCTAAATTAAACAACATAGATTCCAACTCTGAAGATTGGAAGCTCTCACCTTGAGCATTACTAATTCTCAAATAGCAATTTTGAGGCTGCTCTATAATGAGAAAGAGAAGAATATTCACAAGGATGCAGGCACTTTGCTTGAATATCAAAGTGCAATATCTGCTAAAAGATACTGTTGTATATTTCATAGTTTCCTCAGCATTAGAGCTGAAAAAAGGCCAACTGAGTCTGAAGAAGTGAATCACTGTTTTGTTTGTCCAGCTTGGGGAAGGAGTATGGAAGACACACAATGTAGTCAATTCAACTGCCTTCAAAGAATTAGTTTCTGAAATAGAGCTGAAAGCATCTTTTCCTCTTTTCCATGAAAGTTAAAAGTGGGCAGGTGAAAAATTAAAAAAAAATTAAAAACCAGGTTTTAGTATGTCAAGAAAAGGTAATGCAAACATTCTCTATAGAAATGATCATGCAATCATTTCCAAAAATGATCACAAAAAGTAGCAAATCATGAAATATGTGGTTAAGGGGACAACTTCAGGCAAAATGGGTTTGTACAGTACATACCCAGATAGGATCTCTTGGGAGGTGCTTTGATTTCTTCATCCTTACTATCTGCAGCTACATAAAAAAAAGAGTTGAAGGGAAAAAAAAAAGAAAGGAAAGACAAACAGACTTTTATGATTAAATGTAACAGTGGTTATTTGAGCTACAGTTTAGTCAGTTAGTACATTTTATTCATTAAAAAATAATAGCCAGACCAAAACATGCCAGAAATTTTAGTCCCCATGCTTTCTATAAGACTCCCACCCCACAATGCTAAGATAGGACTGAGCAGTACGAAGTCCCTGAACAGTCTCAGTGCACAACCCAACATGCAGTGTACCTAGGAGGGGAAAATAAAGGCTTAAAAAACAATTAAACAGGCAGCTTGATTCTTACCTTAGACTACATAAATTCTAACTTTTAATGATCAGAGAAAACAACCTGTTACCTCAGCAACACAGGGTGCGTGGACATATGTGTATGTATTAACAGCTGAGACAGTAATTATCTTGCCTCTGGTGGAAAATGCTATTCAAAAATACTGTCACAAAGCTCAAGAAGAAGAGAACAAACCTCATCTGCAACCATGCTGCATGCTAAACCTTTTCCACTCTAACCTTCCTCTGCCAGTTGAAACCCACATATTACACAAGAGAATTCTTCAGTGCCAAAACCAAAGCTCTTGAAAGGATCATAGTGCTATAATAAGATACAAGTTATAAAGGAGATTAAGTCCACCAGCAAAACTGGATGAATGACAAGAGGAAATAATCTTAATGCAAAAACACAGGAGTCCATGTTCTACTTGTAGAGCCCAGGCTGCACAAGTACAGAGAGAGAGATGTCCAAGAATCTCCTTTCAATAAATATTGTCCACTGGTTTTCAGTATAGTTCATACATTCAAGGGGGTCAAAACCTGTCACAACATCTTGGGCATTACTAGAATGTTTGCCGGAGAGAGGTGGGAGGCTGATTTAGGGAGAGTGTCTGTCTCTCCAAGAATATGAAGAAACTGCTCTGGCCCACCAACATTCCCAAAAGTAACCAGACGTTTTCAGCTGTCTGTACCTGTGACAATTTTGCTTCAGCCACCTCTTGGTTCCTGAGTAAAGACATAGCACATCCACATTTTGTATTTCAAAATTCAGCTCTTTAGCATGGTAGCACCATCATGCCCCAAAATATTACAATACTTTGAACAAAAACAACAAGAAAATTAACAAGAAGCATGGCGCTTTCTGTACTGTGCCAACAACGCAGCATAAATATGGCTCCACAGATACAACTTTAAAACTTGGGAACAAATATGGAAAACTGTTGTTACCCCAATAATGGTACCAGAAGATCTGCATTAGAGCACTTAAGATGCAGTGAGGTTGAATACAAAATAAAAGATAAGAAGCTATTGTTCACAGCTGCTGATTTCACCTGAGGACCCCATGTAGTTTTCAAGGCAACATCATGCAAGGGAGAGAACTGTCCTATCACTGGAGGTTTTAAAATCAAATTGGGGTATTTGTTAGTTCTGTATTTTGCCTGATTTGGGTGCTGGCTTTCTCCAACCTGAATTGTTAAAAACAGGCTATACGGTCCAAGTTAAAAAAAAAGGTAATAGAACAGTAGGATATATGAACAGCATTTGCTTTGTTTTCAATTGGTATGTACTGAAGGATAAAGTCTCTGTATCCAAAACAAAAAAATCAGAGAAGGCAGCAACAGCACAAGATGGGTTGCACCACTTTCAACTTAATTTCATTTTGCAATACTAAAAGGGAGTGGGGGGAAATCCCATAATTTAGAAGTAACTGTGAGAAGGGAAAAATTTAAGAAAATTCACATAATCTTTTTAAGTTCTCTATGTACAGAGTCTAAAAAAAATAAAAGGAAAAAATCTCCCTAGAAAATCTAGGGAGACTGCATTTCTCATGCTATGACAGTTACCCTACAAATCAAAGTACAAGCAAATTGACTGAATGGCTTTGTATGTTCTGAATAGCTATTGACATTTTGGGTATTTTAAGCCAGTAACACCAGAAAACATGATAAAGAATATAGAACAAGCTTGTCAGGATTTGAAGAGATTGCTTCTTAATGCTTCAAGATAGGAAGCAGATTCTTTCTGAACTAGTTATTACTTAAGGGACCTAATTTGTGAGAAAAATAAAAACAAAAATAAAAAAGGCAATTCCCACATAACTGAAAACACACTGGTAAACACACTTCTGCCACTTGGAAGAAATACCACATTTAAAAATAATATAAGAAAACAGCCAACTCCCTTCCACTGAAATAGTCTATTCTTTCTAAATATTTTGGATTATTTTGCTGAAACATTCAAAGGGAGGATAGAAAAGAAAAACAATGAAGACCAGCAATGTGAGAAATAACAATTATCATACAGAAATGCTGTACCTTCCGTTAGGATTCTGCAAGGTTAACAAAAAACAATGACTTCAAACCTAGCTCTTCACTGCCCCAGCAAACTATAAGGAAGGAAAGTAAGTACACAGACTTATCAGCTTGCCTTGATCACCATAAAACTTTAGAGATAAGATTAGGTGTTTGATTAGAAACACAGTTCTCACTCCTACTCATATTGTTCTTGAAACCTACCATTCTGTCCAGCTTGAAAGGAGCTTTGCATGCACCTGAATCTTTATTCTGACCCATCATACAGTTGTCCTTACTAAATATCAATCCCATGTAAGAAAGATATTCCAGATATTTTCAGTGCTTGTAGGAGGACTCAAGCCTTTCTATGAAAACAAATAATTAAGGACCACAAGTAGGTAAAAATCCATCTCTCTAGCAAATTCCCTATGACAAAATGAGTTTTAGGAAAAAAAGTTTATATAATACAATGCAACCTTAAAGAGGTTCTATCATCTGTCAAGGAAGGGCTGATTACCCCCTTAGGAGACTCTATGTCCTTCAGGGAGAGTTGCTTAAAGAGCACTATATATTAAACTGAAGAGTCTCCCTTTTCTGTCCAAAGGTTACTGAAGGAGCCTGCAAGTGTGTGGGTGTAAATGTGCCCAAGAACAATTTCCTCTCAGAAAGGGCAAACAGAGAAACTTCTCTGTCACTCCACAAAATGCTAGCACAAACAGCAGAGGAGGAAGAAAGCACACATGCCCCTCCCAAATGCTTCCTGGATTTTACCTACTGCTAAATCTGGCTGAAAGCAGCTTTTAAGTCGTTCATCCTGCCAGACTGAAAACCCTTGTGAACACAGCAGCTTGTGTTTGGAAGCTGGATTGCAGCTCCTCTTCCACACAAATTCACTTACCTGAATAGTTTCTCACTACACTCTACAATGAGCAGGAATGGAAGTAGCCTCCTTAGCTGTTAGATAAATTACCCTACTGCACAGCCAGGAGCTGCTGCCTTCTAATGATGGCTGTGGATATCTGGAATTGGATCAGACCCTCAATTACTAGGGAGTGTGGAAGAGAACAGATGGAGAGAATAAATTATACATCCTTAATGGCAAAACAACTGACAGAAAGCTGACAGTGTTAATTCTGTTCTTGTTGGTAATAAGCTGTTACATAAAATGTTGTTCATCAAAGTCAACACAAAGAAACAAAAATCTACCCTATCTCACATTTCTTATCTGCAGGGAGAAAAGGACTTTGCACAAAGACTGAACATTTTATTAAACCGAGAATAGTCTGTCCCAACCGAAATTATCAAAATTAACCAAAACAAAAATATGAGAAAACTCCCACAAATCCCAACTAATCTCACACTAAAGCCAATGGAAATGGTACACAAAAAAAAAAAAAAAAAAAAAAAAAAAGAAGATAGAAAGATAGTTTTGCAACCATGGTAAGAAGCACCTGGTTTCTTGATGGTCAGTAACTCAAGTAAATAGAAAATTATTATCTACAAAAGCAAATGTTTGCAATTACAACATTTAGATAACAGCATAAGATCATAACTAAGAACTTGGTAAAACGTACAGCTGAAGAAAACAGCTTCTTACTCCAGCCAAGATATTTTAAAAAATCCAGGCTAGCACAATAACATAACAACTAGCTCTATATTCAGAATGTGGTGTGAAATATTAGGGAGAACTCCGATTTCTAGACTGAGCCAAGACCTGTCTGAAATAAAATTTCAGCTGTACATTGTTATCTAGAAAATAAGCAGTTTCAAAAAAAAGTTCAGAAAGTGCTACAGTGGGGAGACTGGACTGCAACACAGAACTTTTGTACTGAAAGTAGAGCACACTATATTTTCAGAGATATTATCCTAAAAAAGCCAATTCCCATCACTGACCTGCAAAAGAGCGGCGTTTCACGTTCAGCTCATTGGACACACGAATTTCAGTGCACAGTTTCAGCATCAGTAACATTGTAATGATCATGATAATGCTCTGCCACAAAAGAGGGGATTCAAAACGCCTTCCAAACCTAAAAAAGGAAGAGAAAGTATGTAAAACATCTAAACACCTGCAAAAAGAAATGCTAACAGTAAGAGGTATGGAAGGCTCAGGAAGCCAGAGTCACCAGACAGACTTAGTTGCCCATACAGGAGCTCAGAGCAGAAGTACCTATCTGAGAACCTTATTCCAACATCCCAGTGGACTGATCCTAGAGATGCTGAAGAGAGAAGCTTAAGGCTTTGCTTCAAAAGCCAGTAGCAAACCTATTATTTTGAAAAGAGAATCGCATTCATTAAGCAGTAAGTCAGTACAGAGAGACCAGAGAGTTATGCCACATTAACACCAGTTATGTGTGCTCTCCACACTTACACTCCAAAGATTTCACATGGAATTGTGCAAAACTTCCCTTTGACAATTTTCCATTTTTAAGTTAAGCCATAAATACAACAGCACTTGCCCTATAAAGAAATAAATATCCATAGCGCTGTCTAGACATCTGAGTGGAAAAGCCAGGTCTGCAGAACACACCAACTATTTAATAAATTTCTGCCTTATTTGAACCAAGATTGGGGGAAGTAAGGAAGTACAGATGACATATCTTGGGAGCTTCCATGCACTTCCTTCACACAGTAGAGAGGATGAACTTGGATTGTAGCCAGTCCTGACTGAAGAGCTTACTCTTAAGTGATTGCACAAGATTCTGTTGTAGGAAAAGGAGAATCCTTCAGCGGAGATCAGTAATGCTCTTCCAACATCACCTGATGAAAGCTCAGCAATCCCCACCACACACTCAGTAAGTGCATGAGGGGTTAAGAGTGGAAGCATATTGCATTTACAACAGGAACGTGACACATACATCACAGTGAGCTGCTTCTCTGTGCTCAGTTCTGCCAGTTTTTATGCCTTAAAGACAGAGATGCTGAGGAAGTAGTTTGGTCAGAACATATTGCTGTGCTCCCCAGTTCCCTCACCTGCACCATGAGGCACACAGGCTTTCTAAATTTCCTAACAGCACAGTTACTAAGGTCAGTCTTCCACCACATCATGCTGACCGAGTCCCAAGCCTCACAGGCATGGCAATTATTGCCCTCTTCTTGACATCTCCTGTTTTACAGTACCCTGGCAAAATGTAATTTGTTATGCTTGGCCTACTTTTATGACCAAGCTCCATGCTAGTAAAAACCAGCCAGGTTCACCATCATGCTGTCTCACACTACTGTGCTTCCACTGCAGCCATTTCACCAGAGAGATTTTTTTTGTTATAAGTCAACTAACAAGGAACAGGACAGAGACTGGAAAGTCCTTGACTAGCTTCCTTGGGAATTGTGCGCAGAAGAGACAAGCAGCCCACATCAGTGACAAGAGCCAAGTATTTCTTGCCTAGTGGCATACAGCTGAGAAAAAGTACAGCTCCTTGAGGCTCCAGAGGGCCCACCAGTTACTACTGCAGGAATAGCAGTTCTGTGACCTTCAGCCCCCCACTTCTATCCTCAATGGAGCCTTTACTGTAACAAATTTGGAGGACACTATGAGGAAGGAAATAAAGAACACAGCTGATAAGCATAATCATAGGCATTGTGTGCTTTGAATAAGGCTTTCACTGCACTAGTTCAAAATGCAGGGGAAAAGAATAAAAGTTTGGCCTAACCTATGCTCCAGGCTTATGATTCCAGATCTCCTTCAGCCTGTGTTGCTGACTGTGGCCAAGTTCCCCTCACCTACTGGAATTCAATACTATAATATTTGTCTCTTACTCAGGGATGAGAAAAACTATGGGAAAGACTTACTGACAATTACAGAACAGTTAACTATAAACCACTTTACATCAGATTTAGAAAAACCATCTTCAATACAAATGTATTTGCATGTAAAAATTCAGTAACACATTTAAGAAGGGCTGAGCTAGCAGCACAACAAGTTAGAAGCTATAATGACAGTAAATCCAGCCACAGGTCACTACAAGGCTAGCTTCTCCCTGCTGATGAGATTATTGGTCATTCACTAATGGCTGCCTCACAAAAGTACTGCCTGCAGTACAAATACCTGCTCACCACAAACACAAATAAACATAGCCACCTGCTTGTCTGATCACAAATTTGTCATGACATTCAAGTATTGCTACAGACTCTCTCCCCCTAAACACTAGGTGGGAAAAATGTAAAACAAAACTCTCAACACACAAGAGAGTTAAAATGGAAATTTAAAAATTCTTATGGGAACTTCAAACAATGCAAAGCACCTGTAGGGTTTTTCACAACCATCCAGTAAAAGATAACAAAGGTTATGCAACAAAAGACACTCATGTGAAATATATCTCCCCAAACACCAAACCCCAGAATAAGTCTTGCAGGCAACACAACCCGCTAAACTAGATCACATATGCAGGAAAACAAACTAGCTGCTATGGAGACCAACAGCAGGGCAAACTACACCACATGGATTACACCCCACTACCTCGGCAGCAAGACTGAAGGGAATACCATTGTCAAGGACCACTCCTGGCTTCTTGAAGCTGTAAAAGTAAAGCCAGAACACTCATTTTGCTCAGGATCATGGACACAAACACCACTCCAAGCCACCTACTCTGCATTAATATCAGGGCCTGCCAAAGCAACACTAATCCCGTTTAAGATTCCTCAGGACAGCGTGAGCCAGGAGCACTGTGGGATGTAAGCCCTGCAGGGAGAGCATGCCATGCCACGCTGTTTCCTTTCTGCCTCACAGACATTATTCCTGTCTCTGTGTAAGCAGGAGCCAGGAGAGGAAGCACGCTAAGGTAATTAAAGCACCTTATGAGAGAAAAGTGAAGAACCTCAGGATACTAGAACAGACTTGCAGAAAAGATCAGCTTTCAAGTCCTGCGGGTGTGGGGTCACCACCATTATTCTGCATTTTCATCCCATAACTACAGTGTTGTATAACGAAGTGAACAGTGACACTTGCAGTATTCAAGGAACTCAGAGTTCATATGTCAGACTACAAAGAGACAAAGAGCTTTTCCACTGTTTATTTCATTTGTAAAAACAAAAGAACCCTTTATTTCCTGTACTAGTCAAATAAACAAATAAAGGAGAGGGAGTGCCTTACATGCTATTAGTTAGGTTATTAGTGTTTCCACAGCCTTCAAATGACTAATGCATGTTCAAGCTGATGAAGACAAGAGAAGTGCACGTTCAAGGCAGAGCAGAGACTAACTAGTTATTGAGAAAACTATGTAATTCCATTGGTACAATTCAATTCTGCAATAATCCTGCTATTCCAGTCCTGGGCCTACTCGAAACAGCAAATGCCAATTGTGAAAAGGAAGCCTAAGCTAGACCAAACATAAAGGTTTGCTTATCGCTTTTCCTAAGACATCTTTGAAAAGAAATTGACGGCTTTTGGTGCAGCCAGATCACTCTGTTTCCTCCTACACTCGTGGATGCTGTTCCAGCTTTCATCTGCTGTCTGCTTTTCAGCTCTCTGGGAAGTTACAGAGTCTAAGCAACATGGGAAGCACTCAGGATACACCACACACTACCAGGATCACAACAGATAGCCCAGGGTAGCAGCACAGCAGCTGTCCTGAAAGACATCCCACATCATCACAGAATTTAACCTGTAGGATTTAAGCAGGAAGAAGAAACAAACTAGTTTTGCAACAGGATCTTTTGATACAAGGTTCCTCTTGACATGTAAACTTCCAAGACTTAATGCATCATCACAAATGAAGCTCCTCACTAGTGCATACAACATTCCACTTGACTTTTTGCACAAAAACGTAGCGCATCTTATCTCTGCTCTGTGGCACTTACACAAAGGAGGAGGAATTGCATAACACTTTTAGTCTCAATATCTGAGCAAGATTCCACCACGAGGCCATACGTAAGGCAATCTTTCAAAGTCGTAGTCATTCTATCAGCTTGATTTGTAGCACCATCCAACATGCCACACATGGTAAAAAGTGGCAAGATCCAATTTAGTAACAGAAGCCTTAAAAGCACAAGTTTCTCTTTCTCTCAGAAAGTCTTTCAGACTTCACTGCTTTGCGTTCCAAAGCCAGAGCAACACAAGACAGAAGGGACCTGGTCCACAGGTAGCACTGCAGATGTTACAGCACAGTGAATACCTAGGAGTCTACCCCTGACAAGGGCAAGTTCACCATTTCTCTGCAAATGACCTCCAGCTCCATACCTGAGTCTCTAATTATTCCATTGACTCCAGCACAGAGAGCTCTGAGCTCTATTGATATTGCTGTTTTAAGAAGACCTTTTGTTTCAGGTCAACTGATGTGCAATGGGTAGAGGGTTACCTTTGATCAAAAATAACACAGTCCATAGTCTCCATCCTGTCCCTGGCTGCCAGAACTTGTTCCCACGGTTTGCCTTACAGCAACTATTTTGTGAGAACAACTCCAAAACTGGATGGTTTTATTTTCTTGTTTTTGGATTTCTGTGGCACTGCTGTGTGAGTTTTAGGACAGTGTTCCTTGGAATTGCAGCTCAAAACCTTTGGAAAGAACATTGTCTTCTTGGAAAATATACAAACCCTATTATATACTGACATCCATTTTACAAAATGTAAAACTGAAAAAAAAAAATCAAAAAAAAGTTCTGGGGATAGCAGGCAACATAAGTACTTTTGACTGCACTTAGTCAAGATATATATAAAAATGTCCATGCTGATTTCTAAGAAATCTATAGTGCCTTTTCCTCTAGTTATTTATTCTCATTTTAATATTAGAAGAAACTGTAATTTATCTCTTCATAAGCTCTGTTTCAAAAAAGAAAGGGTGAAGAGAGAGAGGGGGTAGAGAGGGAGAGGGAGAACTCACAAGTAAGTTTTTCTGCATCCTCCACCCCCTACTGATTACACAACTCTCACCCGCCTTCTCATTGCTGTTCTCCATCATGACAATGCAAAGCTACTCAGCTGGCAGCCACAGGAACCAGAAGATGTGTGTGCCTTGGTCTAGTGCCACAGGGAACTCTGGAGCCATCCCACAAGTTCCAAACACCCTGGGACAGCTTAAACAGATAATTAATCACCTCAGAGCTCAGGTATCCCTTGAGCAAGAACACGGAGCTAATTCAAGAATGTATAATAAGACATAAGGCACAAGCTATCAAAAATGGTAATGAAGTGTTTAATTAAAAACGGAGAGGGAAGAAAATTGCTCTCAGGTGTTTTTTTTTGAGCAGGCCATACACTTTCATATGCACCAGAATTACAAAGGCCTGCAGTTCTGCACTGTCTCTCGATGTCTATTCACAGTGCAAACTTTCCCCAAGTTGACCAGTCCAGAGAAACAATGGCCTGTGGGGCTGGAGAAGACAAACAGGAGAAGCAGTACTGACAATGGCAGGACAAAACAAAGGGGCAGGCAGCTGATGCAGCCATAGGTCATATCCAGCAGCTATACTGGCACTCCAAAATAAATATTGCTTTGATGTGTTAGATAAAATTGTAACAATAGATTAATACTTCAAATAAAGTTAAATTGGTATAAAATCTACTATAGCACAAAATCTGCTCTTCGCACTGGTAAACAGAGACTCCCTTGCATGATGTTATAAGCACAAATTGTTTACCTTCCAATTTTTTTTTTAAATCCTCTTTAAAAGGGCAAAAGACTTAAACATAACCAAACTTCTAGTTTCTTTTTGCCAAACAAAAGCCATACATGCATAAATAAAGTGAAGTAGAATCATGCCCATTGCTATCCATACTCTGTTTTCATTCTTCCAGACCAATCCTTTCACACAAAGTTTTGGCACATTGCTGGAACACAGCAAGGCCAAACACACATAACTGAAGCAGAAACAGCTCCTTAAAGATGAAATTTTGAGACACTGTGTGAAAGAGAAGCATGAAAAATGGATACTGTGCTATTGTCATCACTAGCAAACAAAGTTCTTTGGGAACACCTTGAAATTAAGTGATTAGATGTAAGAATCACAAGGAAGAGAGGCATTGCACTGAGTCCTCTTGACTTCAAAAGATGACTTACCACTAAAGACAGTCTAACCAGAGAAACAGAATTGGTGAGAACAGGCAACTGGAAACAGGACTGTTATCCTTGATCCCAGTAGTACTTTGTTCATTGGCTACTGTCACAGTGCAATTCACCAGCTGAAACTCTATTGACATGTAAAACATTGCAAGAAGATTAGGAAGCAAATACTCTATTTGGAGGGGAGATGAAAGGTCAAACTTAAACCACAACAAAACCAGGCATTAAACCAATAAAGGATAACCTCTGAAATAACCAAGTACAGTTATAGGAACCTGTGGAATCCATTATTCCACAAAGAGAATGTGAGGGAATTGTCCCCATAGCTGAGAAGAAGGAAGAGTAATAAAGCCATAAGGGAAAGGTGGGAGGACTGGGTCTGTTATGAGTAACACAAATACAGAAACACCAGCACTACCCAAGAGCAAGTATACAGAGGCATAAAAGGCATAACAGGCAGGAACAGTCTGTCCTTGTGAGCCACAAATTCAATACATGAAATTTCAGGGAAAACCTGGAAGTAACAACAGACACAAGTTACAGAAGTGTCTCTGACGTTAAAACAAAACAAACAAGCAAAAAAACAACAAAAACATCATTCATCCTAGGAAAAAATTAAGGCCTGAAAAGCAACACTATTAAAACTTGAAAGTTTTTGAGGCCTAACAATTTAAGTACTTCTTTTTGGATCAGGGAGGAGAGGAAGTCACAAAAAATTACTCTGGCTCAAACCACATGCTTAATAATCACAGGTAATGAACTGAAACGAAATGAAATCAGAAGCTTTATGGCAGTAGAGTTTTCAGAAGAGAGACTTGGATTAATACTGGGTTTGCTAAAGGGAAGGAGACATCAAGTAGTACTTGGGGAAAAAGATTATATACAGAACAAAATTACTTGTAGGAACAATTCTGTCCTGGCACCAGAATGGATTAAATTATTTAATAAATTTAAAACAAAATAAATAAAAACTTTCTAATTTCCTCCAAAGAATATTACATATACAATTAAAATCATTCTGCTGTTTATGTCATTATTGAGAGCATTGTGTCCCAGATAATGCATCGGCCATAGGTGACATTAACCAAATAACGCAAAAATTGAATTGCCAAGATGCTCCATGGGTGCATTTTCACAATGTTCACAGGAATCACAGGCTCTTGCTCTGTGATCTTCCTTAAATCATCCAGATACCCAAGGATATCATCCACCCTCAATGCCGTTTTCATGACTTACTGGTGCTTATAACTAACTACCAGGGACGCCTAATCTTTTAGGCAGACAAGCAAAATATTCTCTCCTGGGAACACTGAATTATCATTATGCAAGTACTCTTTTGTCTTTTAGTTCAGCAGAACCAGAGAGTGACAATTCATTGCAAGTACAGACAGAAGGGTTTCTGCAGGGTCCCAAGTGAAGCCATTCCATGCTAAGCTCCAAGGTGACCAGAAGTTACACAGTGCTTACACATGTCAGGGAGTGATACTATCCTGTGGTTCATCTATTCATACCTACTCCTACCAATATAACTGCATTCTCTCTTTTGAGGTATTGACAAACCTTTCAAAATAGATATAAATTATAACTTTTCACTACTTGCAGTATTTATACTTTCAGACATCTCTTAACTAGATGTACTTAAAATCAATTCAAATTAAAGATCTTTCAGTTTTTCCATAGTCTGAGTCTCACTAAAGAGATGCACTCACCTGAGTTACCTAGAAACTGCCAGCATCTCCATTCAGGTGTAAGCCATTTCTATATTTTGACTGTCTCCAGTACAACCAAAAATTAGACTATTTCTCTTTCTATCACTGTCAGCTCAGGCTCTTTGCTTCTCCTTCTCCTGCCAGTTCCTCTGCTCCCCTCCTGCTCTCTGCTTTCTCCATATACTTCTCCCCAGGAAAACACAGTTCCAACGCAACAAGTAGCTCAGTTCCAGCGATGACTCCTCTGTTTGACTGCCAGCTTGTGGTGCCAAGAAAGGGTCTCCTGTTTTCCACTCCAGCACAGCACTTACATGCTGTATTTTGCTGTAGCAGAAACCAGGAAGCCATTATACAGAGTCAGAGGAGGTTTCTTTAAAAAGAAACCGAAAACCAACAAACGGATGCAGCCTTGTTACCTATCAGTTCTTTATGGATTAAAAAGCACTACTTTGTAGTCAAAACAGAATCATAGAATAACTGTCCTTAGTTGCAGTAAATGCCCAGACCATTTCATGTTTGGTTTCCCAAGTACATTCTCAGTGGTGTAGCACCTGTATAATCAGAAACAATGAGCAAGATATTTATAACATTGATTCACAGAAATCATGCTGTAATAACATTTTCTTTGTCCGGCAGCAAAAGACTAAAATATGGAAACAAACTTGCTCTTAAGTATTGAAACTGGTGTTGAAAGCAAAAGAAATTTGCTTTTGAAAGGCAGCACACCTTTTCCTTGCTTATCCAAGAAAGAAAATTTTCATCTGTAGTTGTGCATGAAGATCTACAAGTGAACCCCCTCTGAAGCCAGCTAGCATCCTGGGAAAATGCAAGAATATATGGCAAGTGTTCCAGTGACGCTAATGCCAAGTAGACATTCAAATAAGTGTGTGATACCGAGACTTTCTCTCTGAAAATGGAGATAGTGGAATATGAGAAATGCAAAATACAGTCGGCAAAAAAAATCTGACTTAGCAAAAACCTCTTCACCAACAAGTTAAAAAGTTTCATCTTGGAAATCAGAGTGCTGATAATCAGATCTGGCAAGGGAAACAAACCATGCTCCCCAGCCCAGTTCATTCGACTTAATAGACACACACTGATGGAAAGACAGCATTTAGAACTTCAAGAGAAGAGAAAATGCACGTAAAACTTTATTTCTTCAAACATTCCAATCGAAGCTTTACACCTGGCAAACAATCAGGAACCTTCAGAACTGAGCAGAAACACAGCCAACTTACCAAAAAAGTATGCGCAGAATGTTTGCGACCAGCAGCACCAGGCAGACGTAGGTGGAGAAGCCCTCGGCGTTCTGGGTGCGCCGAATGTCCCGGTACTGTGGGATGTAGGGCACGACGCCGCCGAACACCATGGCCCCCGCGGCGCC